GGATTTGCTTTTCCAGCAAGGTCACAGATCAGCTGACCAAATCCTTTAACAGCTGGGAAGCCGATGCTGCTGGCTGACCTCAGGAGCAGTCACTCCGGTCAGTCCAGCAGCCGCTGCTTTCTGGGAGGGGCTGGCGCTCCTGCTCCAGCTGTGGCAGGGGCAGGATGCCGAGGGAGGGTACTGTGGTCCAGCGTTCCTCCCGACAGTTTTCTCCTCTTCCTGAAGCTCCGGGTTCAGCTGCTGCAATGCAGGCAAAAATGACGGGCACTTGCAGAAAAATGTGGGAGCAGAGTTAATGAGCTTGTGTTAGTGTGTCATTTATGGAGCATGAGTTATCTCTTTGTCTCCGGGGTCGCGGGAAGTGAGCCGGCTGGAGAACTCATCTCGCAGAATCTTTCTCAGGCGTGCATCTCGCCCCGGTGTCTGGGCTTCAGCCCTCTTGTGTGAGGCGGTGCTGTCAGGCGCCTTCTGCTTCTTAGCACGGGGACGTTTGCACTCCGGGGTTTGGGGCCCTGGAGTGGGAAACAGGAGCCTCTCATCATTTTGGCAGGATCGTACGAGGTAGGGTAATTTTTTTTCTCTTTCGGAAAGAGCGCTTTGTCTTTGCAAGAGACCATGTGGGGGTTGACAGGAGGGCTGTTTGGTGCGCTACCTTGCTAAATATTTGACTTTGTAAGGTTGAATTCTCCAAGAATTCTCATGGCAATAAGGCTGTGCTTTGAGCCAAGCTTTCTTTTCAAGGAAATCCAAGGTGCCGTTTATTTTGGCATGCAGCCTGTTCTGGGATGAAATACGGCATTTTTATTATTGCAGAATAAAGAGAGATTTGAAGAGAACAAAAGTACAGAACTAGGTTTCGGTTTCAGGACTAGGTAAAGGAAGGTTTCTTTGCATTTGGCTTTGTGGTTAGAAATGAGATAGAAAATGGCATTATGAGAGGAATAAGTGGGGAGAGGGGGTGGGTGAGGGCATATACTACCGAGCTGGGCAGACCCGGGGAGTCCACGCTGCTGGGTGTGGACCCTGCTGGCCTGGTAGTTACACATGGCCCCGCTCTGGCTGCCAGTGCCTCCTCTTCGGTGGAGTTTGAACGGGCAGCCTCCGTCCCACCTCTTCGCTGCCCGTTGGCTTTGAGTGGCTGTGTGGGGTGATGGAGTCCCACACACAGTCCTGCCCCTAGTTAACTGGATAACTCCGCATTCGCCACATAGCCTCCTTGTGGCCTCCTTTCCTCATTTGTAACTTGGAGATGGCCCCGTGGACTGAGTGACTGCCACATGTTAAGGTACAGGGGGTGTGGAGGCAGGGGGGGACTGAAATAGTCCTGCAGGAATTCTGACCTTCACAAGCTTACAGATCCGTGGGGAAAAGGGCTAGAGAAAGAGAAAGCCAGAAATCCTCAGACATCCAGGATACTATGAGCTGATGAGAGAAGATGGGACCTCATCAGACATCCTTGAGCCTGAGATGGGCCTCAAACAGATGAAAACTTCCATCACACGCCGGGTACCGCAGGCTCTGAACACGGGGGAGGCAGCTTAACAGAACAAGTAACAAATTGTTTTATGTCAGAATTTTAAAGGGGAGCTCCATCCAACAAGGCCATTTCTCCTACTCTGTTGTACTGCAGACAAAGCAGTGTGTCCATGTGGCATTTACTCTTCGCTTCCACTGACCAGAACACGTCAAACATCCACCCACGGGAAGAGAGCCCCCTTAGCCACGTTCCAAGGTGTCTGCCGTCAGACCTTGGGCCAAAGTGGAGAAGCTGGGGTGGGCGGGCTGGAAGCAGCCGGATGTGGGCCAGCAGCTCCCCTTCCCTCCTGAGTTTGGAGCCCTTGGAGCAAAAGCCTGCTGGGCCCTCCCCTCCAGAGCCGGGGTGTCAGCGCCGTCTAATTTCTGGAGCCTTGGAATGGTTAATTCCAAGTCAAGTCAAAGAGAACTGTTAGAGGTCTCTATGGTTCTTTTTAGGGAGGTTTGACCTACTGTGTGCTGCAGAGTTATTTGAGGCTCCCCGATGTGCTAGATGAAGGGCTGAGTCCTACTCTAACCATAGGCAGTGTGCGAGACCGAGCTCCCCGAGGTGGGGTGAGAGCTGGTGCATCCAGAGCTCTGTCTGCTGTGCCTAGGGGAGCCTTGCTGCTTGGAGTCCAGCTTTGGAGAGGGTCATGCCTCTGGCCAGGAGGCCCCAAGAGAGCAGTTGCCGTCTCATGCCCAGGCGGCATTTCAGGGACGCTGTGGGAGAAGACGAGGAGCATCCGTTGGGAGCATTTCCCCTCAGAGAGAGCTGGGGATCCGTCCCAGCATCCGGCTGCCTCGCAGGGTGGACAGACGTTCACAAGTGACCTCGCTCCCAGCACGGGCTTGGCGTTGGTTAGGCATGAGGGCAACTCCTCCCCAACACTTGCTTATTATGTGATTTGGGAGGCCTGTAACCCCTCTCAGCCTCAGTCTCCCTATGTGAAAAATGGGGACAATAGTGATCCTCTTGGGCTGAGGTGAGGATTGCATGAGAGAATTCCAGTATGTGAAGTGCTCTGAGCCTGCCTGTTGCTCAGTCATGTTACGGGGTGGCAGGAAGAGGGGGCAGAAGGGAGAGGAGAGGCCGTGATGCTGGAGAGACAGGCCGAGGGGCCCAGCTTAGGGTCTGTGGCCTCACACTTTCTCCCCAGGCTTCACCCTGGAGCTGCCGAGCCTCTCTGCCCGCTGGCATCTGGGGGCTCCACCGCCTCCTGCAGACCGCGGACCGCGGCACCCAGACCCGAAGCAGTGTCCTCGGCCTGGGAACCTTCCCTTTCTTTTCTTTTTGTTTTTTTTCATTGTATATATTTTTTAAATTGAGATATAATTGACATATAACACTGTATTAGTTTTAGGTATACGACGTAATGATTTGATATAGGTCTGTGTTATGAAATGACCACCCACAATAAGTCTAGTTGAGATCCAACACCAACATAGTTATGCATTTTTTTTCTTCTGATGAGAACTTTTAAGATCTACTCTCTTAGCAACTTTCAAATGTGCAGTACAGTGTAATTAACTGTAGTTGCCGTGCCACGCATACAACCCCAGGACTTATAACTAGAAGTTTGTGCCTTTTGACTCCTTCACCCACTTCCTCTATTCCCCCACTCCCCGCCCCCCGCAATCACCAATCTGTGAGCTCGTGTGTTTTTGTTTTTTAGATTCCACATATAAGTGAGATCATGCAGTATTTGTCTTCCTCTGTCGACTTATTTCCTTTAGCATAATGCCCTCAGGTCCATCCATGTTGTCTCAGATGGCAGGGCTTCCTTCTTTTGTATGGCTAAATAATATTCCTTTATATATATATATATATATATATATATATATATATATATATACACACACCACATTTTCTTTATCCATATCAAACTTAGGCAGTTTCAGAACCTTCCCTTTCTAACAAGGATGACCTCCCTCGCCCCAGGTTAGAACCTTCCAGGCCTCTCCACTGTCTGCCCCCGTAGTGGCCACACTCAGCCTCCAGGACCACCACCCTCCTTATCCCTACTCCTGCTCCTCCTCTACTCCAGCTCTGTGCCACTCCAAACTCCAGTACTAGTTGCCTCAAAGGTGAGCGAGGGACTTAGTGTGGGCATCCCCTCTGCAGGGAGTGTCTCTGCCTGCCCTTCGGCCGTCGCACCTGCACAGGGAAAGGCCCCTCTCAGCTGCGTGCCCGTGGTTGGAGGAGCCAGAGCGAGAGCCGGGCAAGCAGAGAGAGGGACACGTACTCCCTGTGGGGCAGACCTGGGACTTCCTCTTCTTTGACAGGCCTGCTTTTCCCCGCCCTCTTCTCAGTTTACTTGTTTGTTCCCCTCTTGTGCATCCTGCGTTGCTGGGGGCCGCCCCTCACCCTTCTCTCACTCCCAGTCCCCCCCCAACCCTGGAGTTGTTGTCAAGCATGTAGGAATTCCTAAAACAACCCCACGCCCACCGCTGAGGTGTCACAGATAACTCATTATCCTGATGTGTGTGGAGGTGCAACCATAAAAGGCCAATTTCCTGGGTGATTTGTTGTAATGGGGGCTGGAGCCAGGTTGTTTACCATTCTAAGAAAGAGTCCTAGGAATGGATTAAAAGTTTGGGGGAAATTTATGATCGAACCTCAAGGTGCCCAAGTTCAGAGCCAGGACAGTATTCCGCTTGATTGTTACCTTCGTCCTCTGGCTACCCAGGTAGCATGATCAGAAATCACCTCTGGGGGCCGGCCTGGTGGCGCCAACGGTTAAGTGCGCGTGCTCCAATGCGGCGGCCTGGGGTTCGCTGGTTTGGATCCCGGGTGCGCACCGATGCATCGCTTGGCAAGCCATGCTGTGGTGGCGTCCCATATAAAATGGAGGAAGATGGGCATGGATGTTAGCCCAGGGCCAGTGTTCCTCAGCAAAAAGAGGAGGATTGGCAGATGTTAGCACAGGGCTGATCTTCCTCACACAAAAAAAAAAAAAAGAAAAAGAAAGAAATCACCTCTGGGTGTCAGCTCCGGGTCAGCACTTGGAATTCTCTCACCTCTGTCTTGAAGCTGATCGGGGTGTCAGTGGTCATTTATAGGTACCCTGATCCCAGCTTTTTCTGAAAATGGATTAAAGTTCTTTTACCATGATGGGGCGAGTTGATTTCAGCTCTTGACGTTCTGGAAACAGCACCATGCTGGTTGTCGGAGCCCTGGGTCTGGTTCCAGCTCCTTCACTAATGTGTTGAGGCCTGGCACAGAGCAATCAACTTCTGAGCCTCAGTTTCCTTGTCTGCCAAGTGAGGGGTTGACTCCTTTGGTGTCGACCATTGCTACCATTCCATGAAGACACACCCAGGATTGGACTCTAGGGGTGTGTACAGGCTTTTAATCTCCCTCCCTGGAGGCCTCTGAGCTCATGGGCACCCCTGGGAGAAAGGCAGAGATGACTGTTACTTCCTTGGGTGCTATGTTCCCTCCAGACTTATTTCAACTCTAATTAATCTTTCTTTCTTTCAGAGCTTCTGATGAATTTTACAGACTTATCAGATGAAGAGTGCTTGAGAGACTGACGGTCATCATTCCCTATGATGGAGAAGACAGAGGGTAGGGAGGCTGCTGGGTACCCCCGTCTAAAGTGGGCACATGGGTTGGAAGGGATTGTTACCATCAATCCTGGAAATAGCCTGGGGGACCCTGCAGGACACGTTCCCCATACAGTCGGTGCTGGGAGACCCAAACCATGTATTTCAGGTATGAACGAGAGAAAATGGTAAGGAATGAGAATGAAGCCTTATGTTTATATCAGACTTGTGTAATTTTCAGAGTGTTTTCGCATCTTATCCAAGCACCAGGAAGGGAGCAGGATGCTCTCACTCATTACCCTCATTTTAGAGATGAGGAACTTGAGGTCTAAGTGAGAGACACAATGTGGTGAAAGAGGCTCCCTTCATACCTGTGTGTCTCCGAGTCGTTGAACTTCTCTGAGCCTCAGTCCCCTCTTGTGTCGGTTAGCTTTGCTGTGTAACAAACCACTCAAAAGTTTATTCACTCAAAGGAAAGGTATTTATTGTTTCTCAGGAGACTCTGTGGCTTGGCTAGGCCGTTGCTCTGGTCTGTGCCGGCCTGGCTGACCTTTGCTGGGCTTGTTCGTGTGTCTCAGGTCTTCTGGGTGACTTGGCGGGATGGTTGAGAATGGCCGCCCTTGCATGTCTGGTGGTCGACTCCGTGTCTCCTGGGGCATTGGTGGTGATTCGGCCACCTGTCTCTTGCTGTCCAGCAGGCTGGTGGGGTTTGTTCACATGGTGGCAGAAGGGTCCCAAGCATGGCAAGGACAGACAAACCCCAACGTGCAAGCAGTTTTCAAGTCTCTGCATGTGTCATGTGTGCTGTGCACTGCACCCACTGGCCAGAGCATCACAAGGCCAAGCCCAGGGTCAGTGTGGGAGGGGACCACCCAAGAGTGGGGTATAGTTGTGGTTATTTTTGCAACAGTCTCCCATACCTGGTCCGTGGGCAGGTATTAATACCTACTGCACGGGGTTGGTGTTAATGCATGTAAGGTTCTTGAGTAATGAGCATCTTGCACAGCAAATGTCTCGATGAGTGTTCCCCTCTTCCCTCCGCAGGAAACTTGCCAAAGGTCGTAGACTAGACCCTGACTTCCTGACTTCTGGTGAAATGTTTTTTCCAGATCACCAAATGTCAGGAAACAGGAGAGCCGATAATCCCCCTTGAATCACCTGACCCTTCGCTGGCGCAAGACCTAGGGACCAGACAGCAGCTCCAGCCCTGCCTCGTCCTTCTTTCCAAATGCAGTCACCGTGTATTTCAAGAGTCTGTCTTTCTCCCCAGAGAGCTGTCTTGTCAGTGCATCCGTGGACGTGGTCCCACAGAACACCAGCTAATTCCCTCAGTGCCCTGGGGCCTGTCGTCACTGCCTGCCTCATTTGTCCCTGCTCAGCCTCCTACACGGCAGCTCCCACGTGATCGTTCACAACCTGCTCAGGAAAGGCACCCTCCCCGGGCACGCACGTCTCACAAAATAAAGGCAGGAGAGGGAGAAGCTTCCGTCGCTGTCTCAGCCTGTTAAAGAGGCTCATTAAGTTCCCCTTCTTTCTGGCTGTATTTTTGGCCACTGTCTCTCCAGTTTCTGCTTTTCCCATTTCCTTTAGGAACTGAATATAGGCTTTTGGACCTTTTTTCTCAGTTTAAATGCCTCTGGTTGGTTTGCTCACCTGCCTCACTTCACTCTGTCCCTCAAGATAATCACGGGGCCATCCCTCCTTCCCTGGCCCCTCCGATCCCCTTTCCCGTGTCTGTGTGCAGCTCTCAGGCTGTGACTGTGTTTGCAGGTCCTTTCAAGGGCCTAGCCATCTGCTGTGCCTCAGACCAAGACTCAGGGGGGAGGTCTAGGCAGCTCCGAGCCTCGTCTGTCTTACTTTTTCCTTCTTGCCTGACTCATTTTCCCAGTTTCTCCAGAATTATTTTCTTGGACTATCATTCCCTCTTGGGGCTGTTGTCCCAACAGAGTTGAACATTCCAAGGAGAGAGCACATCCTCAGCCAACCCTGCCCCACTGAGAACCAGCCGTCCTTGTCTTCCGCTCCCTCGTTGAGGGCCTGCGCCGTGCTCTCCGCCATCAGTGACAACACCCACAGAAACCCTGTGAATTAGGAATCATGATTGCTGAGTTACAAATGGAGAGACTGAGGCACAGGGAAATTAAATAATTTGCCCAGAATCACAGAGGGAGGAGATGACCAAGGCAGGACTCTAATCCAGCCAGGTTGGCTCTGCGTTGGGTTATCCGATCTGAAGTTCATTTTGAGCAGAGACAGTGCTCCTGATGAATTCTCACCCTGGCTTAGTGCCCAGAATTCTGAGCTCCTGCGTACCCGTCACCAGGTGGAATTAAGAGGAGCAGAGCTTACTGGGAGTGCAGGTCTCCCAGCATATCAGGTCAGGCACCCTTGTTCAAGGTCCTGCCTTCCTCTTGCACTGGGAGAAAGAGAGGGATGCAGGGTGGCGGGTGCAGGCACGCAGCACGGTGGATGTGTGTGTGTGCGCGTGTGTGTGTGTGTGCGTGTGTGTGTGCGCGCGATACCCCACAGTGCTGGCTTAGGAAAGCACGGACGAAACCTGTCATCCTGGATAGCTGCTCAGGCTCCAGACGCCTTTGGTTCCCCTCGGTCTCCCTTGTGGAAGATTTTGCCTTTGAATCTGCAGTTTCTTATTTGATGCTATTATTGTATTTGTGCTCTGGACCTGCTCCAAGAGGCCACTCGGTAAATCAGTGCATTTCTACTGAATTGAGGCAATAAGCAGATAAATAATGCAACCTCTCCTTTAGGAGAGTTCTTTGCCTTCTGGGTCATAAATCTGCTCTCTACTTAACTTTAGACAAATATCTCCTCTCTGACTTGGCCTGTCCCTGTAATCCGGGCAGCTGCAGGGTGGACCAGGAGGCCTAAGACTACAGCCAGGTTCAGCTTGCAAAACTAACAGAGAGCAAGTGCTCTCATTTACTGAAACTGCTGGGGGAAAGCAGGTTGGGAAACAATTGTGTGGGTAAATGGGACTTATTTGGAATCTTCTGGGTGCTGGAGGAGTGTTTACTCCTTATCCGTCTGGAGTCCAGGTATCTGCCACAGGACCTCTGGAACCCAAAGGGGACCATCCTGGGAATCAGCACCAGTGCCTCCTTCTGTCTCCCGTGGCGGTTCTGACATAACTGCCCACAGGCCCTGCGGCTCCCTCGGCATTGAGGCTCGTAGACTCAAGCCTTCGTGTGTCTGGCTGGCTTCGTTTAGCTCGTTGGTGATGACTGTACTTCCCTAAGCACAGAGTCCCCTGACAATCATGTGGCACCGGCCGCAGGAGAGATTAGACAGGCAAGTGGGATGAGCTCAGCCCCAGTATGTCATCACCCATAGGGGAAAAGCAGCCAAAATGTGCCCCAGGGAACACCATCGTTCCACCTTCTCTGTACCCTGCCCTTTCTCTCCATCCCTTCAGCTTCTCTCACCTGGGCCTTGTCAGCAGTCTCCCAGCTGGTCCTCTAATGCTCTGCAAGAATGCCCTGGGTGAAATCACATTTGACCAAGTCTCGCCCTTGTGTAAAGCCCTTCGATGCCCCTGTTACCTAGACAGTGAAGTGGAAGCTTGTTGGCATGCACACAAGTTGCTTCATGACCTGGCTTTGCTGGCCTGCCAATTGTATCTTTTTCTCCCCCTCTCCTTCTCCACTACACTTTCAGTTCCAGCCGTATCAACTGCGTTTACGGAACCCTGAGTTACTGTGGAATTGCACAGCTCCGTGCCTCTGCACGTTCTCTGATGTCTAACTAGAACCTGTCCTGGCTCTCTCTTGCTGCATAACAAACCACCCAAAACCTAGTGGCTTAAAACAGCCATGATTATTAACAGAGGCTCAGCTGGGTGGTTCTCACTTGGGGTCCCTCCTCTTGTTGACATCAGGTGGTGGCTGAGGCCACAGCCATCTGAAGGCTCTTCCACTCCTGCCTGCACTGGGCTGGGCTGGCCGGGCATCGCTCCACTCTCTCCACGTGACCTCTCTCTGCTACTTGGGCTTCCTCACAGCGTGGCAGTCTCAGGGAAGCCGGACTCCTCACACGGAGTCCGGCTTCCCACTGGGTGTGCCTTCTAAGAGACCCAGCTGGAACCTACAGGCTTCTTATGACCTAGCCTTGGAATTCTCTCAGCATCGTTTCCGCCATTTTTTTGGGGTCACAGCAGTCACAGGCCAGCCCAGATTCAGAGGGGTGAGGAAATAGACCACAGCTCTCAATGTGGGCTTCCCTTGCCTGTCTAGAGGGGTAGGAATTGATGGCGCCATCTTGGAGATAAACAGCTACAATGTCTTTCACCCTCTTGTTCTCCTGGAAAACTGCTATTTGTTCATTTAACGCCCAGTCAAATGTTGCTTTTGTGAAGTCATCCCTCTCCTACCGAGGCAGAATTAACCTCCAAGTCCAAGAAAGTCATTCTGGAGAAATGGGGAAAATGAGTCAGGAGTGAGGACTGCTCCTTGATGTGCCTCTGTTACTGTCCTCTCACACTGCACTTACTTGTTGGTGTTTCTCCTTCTTGACCGTACATTTTTTGAGGGCAGGGCTGTTCCTGATCCATCTCTGTGTCGTTAGGGGCCAGCTTAGCACCAACACATAGGTGCTCAAGAAATAGTGGTTGAGGTAAGTAAACTGAGTTACTGCTGTTTTGTAATTTTGCCCCCGGGCTGTTACCCTGAGAACCAAGCAGTCAGTCTGCCACACAGAGTTGGTGGAGCCCCTCCTGTTATCCAGCAAATCGGCTTCCGTTATGGGCTTCAGTTCTCCATGTTTTGGGCTTCCACAACGATAATAACTACAGTATCGAGCATGTATGGAATGTTTATCATGTGCCAGGCATTGTTCTAAGCACTTTATATGTATTAATTAATCAGTCCTCCCAATAGTCTCATCTTACCACCTGTTATTATTCCTGTCTTACAGATGAGGGGACACAGGGAGGTCACAGAGCTCAGACAAAGAGCAGGCTCGAGTCCGTATTCTTTGGCTCTGTGCTCTCCACGAACGTCCTCTCCTGAGCTCAGCATTTTCAGAGCATGTTTAGTGGAATGTCACAGCGATAATAAGGGGTGTCACGTGAGGAACATCGAAGGAGCAAACACTTTTCAACCTGAAGAGGAGGCTACTAGGATTCAGATAAGCAAAGGGCTGACTTGTCATCAGCGTCCTCTGTTGGAGGCAAGATCAGTGGGGCCTTGGCGTGATGGAGAACTTCCTCATCACTGTGTCCCCGCGAGTTTGGGCTGCCCTGAAAAGTCATGAGTCCCACGTCTCTTGGAGGATGTATGCCAATGTCCCTTTTGACATTAATTGTCCCTTTTCCCTCGCAACCTTTATTCCAGTCTGTGAAAAATATTTCTTTACTTGGCAAGAGTTTTTGAAAGTGGAATTCGTGTTTGTTAAGCACTAAGCAGTTTTCGGGTGCAAAGAGCATGGGCTGTGCATGATTCCGTGTCCCACTTCTCTCTGATCTTCATGTACCTAGAGGCTCAGGGATCTGAGGAAGCTTCAATAATGTAGAAGGCATAACTCCTTGATATCTGGCTTTAGCAAGGTTTACTAGTACCCACTTGAATAATGCAAGGTTCTTTTTGAATGTTGAGACAATTGCGTATCTCATCCTTTGAAACCTTCCATGTTCATAATTATACCCTGATTTGGCAAATTCCTTGCCACTTCAGTTCAGCAATTACCTGACTCAAACCCAGAAAAACAGCATGAGACTGTTTTGTTTTGCTGGTCTGCAGGCAGATTCCGCAGTAGTAGCTGAGATGGCACACTGCACACTGGAAACGATTCCCTCTACCTGTTTCCTGGCAGACACTGGCTAAGTATACACTGATTTAATACCATGGTCTCTCCTCATGGTCTTCTGAGCACCTCTGCATAATTTAGAGGCTGGAGTGTTTAGGAGAAGTCTCACGTGAGAGCGTTAAGTCAAAATCACAGATATTGGGCCTCACAACCTTGTAATCTTATTAACATTGTGCTTCTTTTTTACGTCTTTTTTCTCCCAGCCAAAGACCAGACCTCTCAGGGGGATGAAGAGAAAGACCCTCCCAAGAGCCACCCCTACTCCGTGGAGACCCCATATGGCTTTCACTTAGACCTGGACTTCCTCAAGTATGTGGATGACATCGAGAAGGGCCACACCATCAAAAGGATTCCCATCCACAGAAGGGCCAAGCAGGCCAAGTTTAGCACCTTGCCCCGAAACTTCAGCCTTCCCGACAGCGGGGCGCGCCCCCACACTGCTCTTACTCTTCCCCACCAGAACTGGTCCCCAGTGGTGCCGAGGAAGGGGTCGCTCGGGACAGAGGGGCGAGCCCAGTCCCTGCCGCCCGGGGGTCACCCCCGAGCTCCCGCCAGCGGGAGTGAGGTGAGCTTCCGCAGGAAGGCCCTGTTGGCCGAGACTGCCAGACAGCTGGAGCCCGCGGCTCCGGGGGAGGCTGAGCTCGCCCCCGGGAGTGGACGGCCCCAGCTTCTGAGAGCGTCCAGCATGCCAGCCACGCTGCCGCAAAACAGGGCCTCGGAGGACCCAAGCCTAAACTCAGGTGCCCCCATGCCTCCCGCACTTCCTCCGCTTCAGGGCGAGGGCAGTGTCTGTGACGGCTCCTTTGGCCCTGCAGAAGGATTTGCAGGTTTTCAGAGCTCCACCCCACGAGCAGCGGCTCAGCCCAAGGTCAGAGAGGTTAGAGACCTGGTGCCGGGGGTCCCAGAGCAGGTCCGGGAGGGGACTGAGTCTCCAGGGGGTGAAGAAGAGGCTCCAAGTCACCTCTCTCCCCCAAGTCCTCCCTTCTCATCCCAGAATGCACATTTACTTCTGGAGGATGCCGAAGACGAACACGAAGCCAGAGAAGCAGAGATGGAGGTCACCCCTGGCTCCCCAACACCAAGCCCCCCACCTCTGCCATCACCCACCCCTGAGAATGAGCTCCCCCTGGAGGAAATCGAGCTCAACATCAGCGAGATCCCCCCGCCGCCACCTGTAGAGGTGGATGTGAGGAGCGTCGGCGTCCGGGTCACAGAGGAAAGCCTGGGTCTCGCCACCCTGGACCCCGGCAGTGTCTCCGGCCTGCAGCAGCAGCTCTCGGACCTTGAGGGTGAGTTGTCTGCAAGAACTGAGGAGCTGGCCCGCGTCAGAGCTGCCCTCCAGCAGCGGGAGGAGGAGGTCAAGGCCCGGGGGCACAGGATTCAGGAGCTGGAGCACACCGTGGCTCAACTGGCAGCAAAGCTTAGCCAGGAGGACACCAAAGACACGCGGGGCCAGACTGACGCCACGGTCAACACTGACCCTCTCCACAGACTCCTGGCCAGGGAGTTGTGTGACAAGAGCATTGGGGTCAACCTTGTGGGCAGCACGGGATCCGAAGGCGGGGGGGCCAGAGGAGAGGAGAATGGCCTTCTGTGGGGACAGGACAATCACAAATGCAGGGATCTGAGCCCAGCAGGATTGGTGCCACCGCCCCAGCTGTCACTGCTGCAGGGACCCGAGATGGTCCTCAACCCCTCTTTACATAGCTGCCTCTCCACTGAGCTCCGGATTGAAGAAGCAGGCTCTGAGCAGCGGGGAGAGCCTCAGGGGGGAGCCCGGGGTCTGGGTAGGGGAGCAGGAGGCTCTTCATGGAGCTGCGACAGAAAGGCGCCCCCAGCAGGGAGGGAGGAGGCAGGTTCAGAGCTCCCAGGGAGGGAGCGCCCGGGAAGACCGCCCGGCTCACCTGCAGATGCCACTCTTGGGCAATACGTGAAGAAGATCCAGGAGCTGCTGCAGGAGCAGTGGAGCTGCCTGGCGCACGGGTACCCGGAGCTGGCCAGCGCCCTCAAGCAGCCCGCCTCCAAGCTCAGCAGCATCCAGACCCAGCTCCTGAGCTCCCTGAGCCTGCTGCTGTCTGCCTGCTCCGCTCAGGCTCCAGCCCAGAAGGAGCCCCCGGCCCCCGCCGCCTCCCCACCCAGGGGTAAATACTGGTGCCCGAGACGGGGAACCGTTTCTCCTTTCCATGACGAGTCAAAGGGAAAAGGGGTTTTAATTGCATGAGTATGTTTTTAAAAAGATTTAAGCCCCTCCAGGAACCCAGTGGAATAAAGACTGATCCACGTAACAGTGGGGGCTCCATACCCTACTCTCGTCCTGGCTCTACGATGGGGACTGACTGCAGGGCCAGCACGTACAGCTGTTCACACGGCACAGGGCACAGAGATGCCAGCCAGGGAGGGTCCATGGGAGCTAAAATCCAGCCCACTCTTCACTTGCCAAGCCTGCAGCACTGCACCCACCCTGTTTCTCAGTTGCACTGCGCAAAGGCAATGTATGGGGCAAAGAATGGCCCTGGCTGTGTGTGCCCTACGCCTCGGCCCCTCCGTCATCTCCTGGGCTCTTCATTCCTCTGGTCCCCTCCTGTTCTTGCACACTAGAGGTTTTCTCCAGCTGGGGTTTGGAGGAACATGATATTGAGATCTGAAAATATTTCACTGAATATTTTCTGTGTGTGTGTGTGGGTGTGAGAGATGGAGTGATACTCACACATGGCAGTTGGCCCTGTGGCTGAGTGGCACTTCCTCTCGTAACAGAGCACACATTCTCCTCTGTGAGTAAAGTGGAACCATACTTCACTTTGCTCAGCGAGCAGCGTGTGCGTCAGCTTCCTGCCGCAGATCACAAACCGGCTGCTCCCTCATTGTTCGGTGCTGGTTCTAGTCTTGCCCCCTGTCCCTTTGAGCACAGCAGCGGAAGATGTGTGCCCTTGCTCACGTGTGTGCGTGCCTGCCCCACATCACAGGTGTCGACTGGCACATGAGCCAGGGAGGTAGGCCGAGGTGCCCGGGAGCAGCGGCGGAGCAGGAGTCTGGGAGCCAAGTTCGGCTCTGGCTCTGCCGTTGCCTGAGCAAATGTGAGCCTCCGATGTCCCAGCTGTGAGGTGGGGACAACAAAGGCACCTGGCTGTCCTAGAGAGGGCTCCTGTAACTCTGCTCTGAGATCCACACAGGGGGCTTTGTGATCAGCGACAGCTCGGCTGGCGTTGACCAGAAGGCTGGGCCTCCTCAAAGACCTTCAAAATATTTGATTGACATCATTTAGTTCCCTGTCCCTTTCTGCTTCCTCGCACACCTTCAGTCTGAATCCCCTGAAAGCAAAGGTCTGGTTTTGCTGCATTCTGGGGTATCCCCAAGATTCTTCTAACCTGTGATGTTGTGTCTGCCTAGAGATCTCCCCGTCGACCAGCCTTAAATCCATAATGAAAAAGAAAGACTATGGCTTCCGTGCAGGAGGTAATGGGACCAAAAAGAACCTTCAGTTTGTTGGGGTTAACGGTGGGTAAGCATCGCTCGTGACGCCCCATCACCTCCCTCCACGCTTGCTCTCCCGCGTCCTCCTCACCCTCTCTGTGTTGTCCTCGGCACTCTCTCTTCCTATGGGGAGGCATCTGGTTTTCATTCTTCTTCAAGGGAATTAATCTCAACAGCCCTTTAAAACCCCATCTCGGGTTTGCATGTGTTTGGCTCTTTGCCAGCGGTGGTGGTCTGTTGGATCCTGTGCTTTGATACGTCTTGGCCTGGTCCCCTGGGGCCAGGATGCCAGGTGGCATTTGGGAGTTTGGGGGGCACATGGGCCCTTTAGGGAAGACATTTAATCTGGACCACAACACTGAAACTGGGGCAGACTCTTGATTTGTTGAGCTTCAAACTTCATCCATTTAATTTTTTTTCTTGCTTTTACTAACTTATTGCAAACCAAACCAACCTTTTTTAGGATGAAGAAAAACAACCAATGTCTATTGACTCAGAGCATGAACCACACCTTATATATTCTAGAGAGTGGATCATTGGATTTAGAATATTTTCTAAGTCAGTCATTCAACAAACATTTATTAAATGCCAGCAGTGTATTAGGTGGTGGGTATAACCCACAGTTGGAACGTGGGCAGAGATAAGACGAGAAGTAGAGACGTGCTGAGACGCTGGGATGAATTCCAGTGGAGGAGGAAGCACAGGCTGCTGTGGAAGCCCAAAGCGGGCACCTGGCCGGTAGAGGGCCTGGGGGGCTGACCGGAGCGGTCAGAACCCGGTTAATTGGGTCAGACCAGAGGGAAGACGCCAGATCCAAACAAGGTGACGTCACAGTTGCAGGTCTTGTGAGAGAAACGTCAGAAATGGTGGAACGGGATGACAGGGGAGTTGCTGTTCCCATGCTTGCTAAGGTCAGACCCCAGGCCCAGGAGAAACCTTGTTTTGAGCTGTCAGCAGTTCATGTGCAGAACAGGGAATCAGCCCGATCTGAGTCTGAAGCAGGTCCTGGCTCCCCCTGCTTAGACGGCCCCCAGTCCTCGTGCTGTCCCCAAGCCTGGAAGCCCATCTCCGGGCCTAGCCTGTCTCTCCCCCCCTGCCGGCTCCTGCCTTTCTTCCCTCTGTCAGGCCCATCTCGGGGCCTTTGCATCTGCTGCCCCATTTACAGAGCTCCTCCCCCAGGTGGTCCTCAGCGTTTGTCACTTTGGTGCAGTGTCTCAGCCTTGAAACCCTGGCCAAGCCTTAAAAAATACCGATGCCTGGGTCCCCCCTGAAGACTCTAGTTTAGTTAGTCTGGGGTGCAGGACAGGTATTGGGGATTTCAGACACCCTCAGGTGATTCTGGTGTTGAAACTGCTGCTCTGATTCAAGCAGCCGCTCTGCCCATCAATCTGCCCCAGGCCCTTTACTATGGTATTCACTGTTCTGATCACCATCTGAGTCTATTGTTTACAGGTTTATTTTCTTCCTTTCCCCACTGGAAAATGAGCTCAGTTAGGACAGGACTTTGGTGCAGCACTTAGAACAGCGTCTGGCACAGAGTAGATGCTTAATAAATTTCTGTTGAATGAATGAATGAACTTCCAGGTGAAGTTTTTATGAGAGCAATTCTAAGACGAGAACTGCTTGGTAAACGTAGTATGTCTCCCACTCTCTTAATCACAAAACCGGAAAGTTGTTCCAAGCACGAGAGGAAGAAATAGCTGGGTTTAAGCAGGACAGAATGCGAGCATAGCAGGGAGCAGGCTGGGTTTGCAAATCCAGTGAGCCCGGGGTCGTTATGTGGGGCCACGTTCAGAGGGAGAGCATGGGGGGGCTCCGTGGAAGTGTGGCCACTCGTCTCCCCTGGTCTCTGTGGCAGTGTCCAGTGGCCCCAGAACCTGAAATCTTCCTCTTAACCCTGGCATCCTCCCTCGGGGTCTCCTGTTGACATCAGCAGGGGGATCAATAAATCTTCCGGGACCTGCCTCCGTGCTCTCTGGTCAGCCTCCTCAGTAGAGTCGCATATGAGTGAACAGAAGGATCATGGCCGGGGAGGGAGAGCCACGCATCATGTGGCCTGTGCCCTCACTTTTGCTGTTCCAAGCAGTAGTTTAAACAGGCTGCAGCTGAGAAAGGCCGATGCTGGGTTCAGGTATCCTGGAACTCTGCTGGGAGCAGACACAGGTGTTCCTCCCTTGTCGGGGGTAAGCCGTGTGACAGCAGGGACCAAGGAGAGGTCTCACAGCCACCCAGTTCAGAGAACTCAGGTGGGGTGGGGCTGTTTGCCTAGATCTGGGCCCCTCTCTGGACTGGGCATTAGGATTCCAGAAGCAGATGCTTTCGTGAGAACCCTGCCTGTCTGGATCATGTGGAGGCAGAGGCCAGTCAGGGCTTGGCTGTTTATGTGCTCGCTGCAAAGAGCTTAGTTATCTTTTCTCCCCAGTGGCCTCTAGCCTTTGAGCCAGAGCTCTTGACCGCCTGTTTCTCTGACAGTGAGGTTCCTGGGAGACCCCCTCCAGGCCTGTGGGTGTAGAGAATGGAGGAGGAGGTTAGGAAGCTGGGAAGTCTTAGCTAATGCCCACCTAGTCCTCATTCGTGTTGACATGGGCGGGCGTTGGGCAGGACACACAGACGAGTGACCTCTGTCTCCTTCCCCAGCTACGAGACCACCTCGAGCGAGGAGACCAGTGATGAGGACAGCTCCCCAGAGGACCTGTCTGACAGCGAGGCTGAGAAGAAATGTGAGGGCCTGGAATACAGGCGGGGCAAGGATGCCCACCCCAGCAGCAAAGCGGGGCAGGGTGTCCCTGAGGGCACTGGCAGCGCAGGCCAGGAGAGTGGGCCTGGGGAAGAGCTCCCCCGCCCCAAGGCTGAGAGGTGAGTCAGAGGGGCACCGACAGGGGCGCTCGACCCTGGAGAAAGGGCAGGGGTGGTTGTTCACCCCTTTTTCCAATCCTTATTCATTCCTTCATCCATCCACTCACCAGTGTTCATTGAGTTTCTGTTCTACACCAGGTACTGTACACTAGTTGAACTAGACAGACGTGACTCCTGTCTTCACAGGAATACTGTCACAGACTGTCATGAAGCCAACATCGTCCTCACTCTGAACACGTGAAGGACTTTACATGTATTATCTCATATAATCCTTGAACAATCCTGCAAGGTAGAAAGTATGACCATCCTCACTTTACAGATGTGGAAACAGAGGCCTAGAGAAGTTAGGGGACCCAGGGCTTCTCCGATCTTTCCCACATGCTGTCTGCCTGTTCCGTTGGCCGTGCTGACCTAACCCTGCCTTTTAATATGAGGGGAGGTGGTGGGGCCGGCCCCGTGGCTTAGCGGTTAAGTGCGCACGCTCTGCTGCTGGCGGCCCGGGTTTGGATCCCGGGCGTGCACCGACACGCCGCTTCTCCGGCCATGCTGAGGCCGCGTCCCACATACAGCAACTAGAAGGATGTGCAACTATGACAGACAACTATCTACTGGGGCTTTGGGGGGAAAAAATAAATAAATAAAATCTTTAAAAAAATAATAATAATAATATGAGGGGAGGTCGTGTGGCCAGCAAAAGCATCCTGCTTTTGGAGTTGGACACCCCGGGTTCAAATCTCACGTCTGCATGCATTACTCTAGACCAGGTACTTAAGTCGTGGTCACCTCACTTGCCTCATCTGTAAAACGTGGATAATGGCAGCCTGCTAGGTGTGGTCTGAGGACTGGATGAGAAAAGTACGTAAAATGCCCAGTGACGTGCCTGCCACATGATGGGCTCTCAATAAATGGGAGAAGTAAGAACAGTCAGTGCCACTGTCATCGCTGTCACCGTCCCCAGCCTGCTTGCTGGAGCAGTGACGGGCAGTGAGTGTGGCTGACTGTTCAGCAGGTGGACAGGGCTGCTCCAGTGTGGCAGCACCGTAAGGACGTGATGAGAGCGGAGCTTCCCCGTGACCAGTGCCATCGAGTCCCAGCCTGGCCTCTAATGCCGCGTCTGCCATTATGCTAACACAGGAAGGATGCTGGTCATGGAGCACGCCCGGCCTAATTGATTTCCATTTTATTGACTTATTAGCACTATGGTGTCCTTCGTGGAAGAATAACCTGAAGAAATTCGCTGGTATGGATTGGATTCTTTGGATTTGTCAAGTTGCTCCGGCAGAAAATGTTTGATCCAAAGTCAGAAAGACAACCCTCCCTTTCCCGGCATGTCAGGAATTGCTGTTGGGCCTGTGGCCCCCACTTTGGTGGGCCACACTTGGTGATCTGCTCCTGTCCCCCCAAAAACAAAAAAAGCAGGGTGAAAAGGGAAATAGGCTTGACTCACACTTCAGAGGAGTTCAGAAGCCTTGTGGCCAGGAGGCTGTATCCACCTGGATTTCTGAGGAATGAATGCCCCTCATCTGGGGAGTTGCCCAGCTTGGGTGTTTGAGCTGCTGAGAAGTGAAAGAGGAGAGTGAAAGTTGAGGTGGGGATAAGCTTCTTTTTCATCAGCATGGAGTCTGATATATACATATATTTATTTTTCTTTAGATATAAACCCTCAGAAGAGTTCCTTAATGCATGCCGGGCGTTGAGCCAACATCTGCCAGAAACTGCGACCACCACCGACCAACTCTTGGTACCCTGATTTTTCATTGTCGTGTCTGTACTGTTAGTTCCCACTGGGTGACTTTGGTCCCTTGCCTCAGCAGCAGTGTGGCATGCACGCAGCTGTCCCTTTCCTCTGGGCGCTCGCTCATGCGCCCGAACTCTGCTGCCTCAGGGGGCGGACCGTGCTGGGAAAGTGGGAGTGATGCATCTGTGCAAGAGAGCAGGCCTGTGCTTGGGGCGTTACCAGCTGGTATCAGGCATTGCGCCCTGACTGTCAGTCATAAAGCTATTTGTGGCTTAGGCTCAGAATTGCCTTGCAGTTGAGAGAGCTGTGGGTAGAGTGGGAAAGAGCGTGTGGAAGGGGAACCACGGGTTCTGTTCCCAGGAGCGCTGCCTCTGAGATACCGGGCAGGGCAGTTCAATGCTCAGGGCCTTGGTTTCCCCATTGATGAGGTGTGGGTGGTCTCCTTCACCCCCAAGCCCTGGCATTTAACTCTGTAGTCTTTACTGGTTTTCTTGAGGTGCACCTTTGGGTCCAAGACCACAAACAAGAAAATACACCTGTTTCCTCCTTAACACCTTCGTGCCATGGAGATTTAAACACAGAATAATTGGGTTCTACTTGCAATCCAGAGATACTGGAACACAGACACATTTTCCCAAAGTAGGAGAGCAGCTGGTAAGACCCAGCATGTAACAACTTGTAAGCATTTTTAAAGACCATTTTGTTCTTTGCAGAAGAGCCTTAGGAGTAAAAACGATCGATTCAGCCCAACCCATTGTCATTATTTTATCTTAGCTGATTTGGCAAATAACTGTTCCCAGATTGGTAAAGAGCCAATGTGTGATGCGGATGTTGATCGAAACTCCTGTTACTTATTCTTAAGTCAATTACAGAATAAGTTATTTCTTAGCTCTACATTTAAAACCCACCACTATGTTCCTTAATATGAGCATCTTTCTCCAGATTCTCCTGAAGATTCCCTGGATAAAGGAGATAGTCTGATAGATAAAAAGTGTTTCAGCTGCGAAGATTCCACTGTTTCCGCCTAGACGAGTGATCAGAGGCTACGCAGATCTGACACCACATCCATGTTAGGGTCACAGGCCCCCCCCACCTTAGAAACAGAGTATACAAGGACCTCACTCTGTAGAGCCAGGGGAGGTTAGGGAGCCTGCCCTTTTTTCATCCCTGTTTTGTAGACTAGTAAGGTTCAAAAACGTTGTATGACTTCCAGGGTCACATGGCTGAGCCAGGACGTAAGCCTGGCCACCTTGGTTCAGTGACTCCCAATGCAGTGCCTTTTCCAGAATGAGTATGGAATCGTTTCTGATAATCCCATCCCCGTAGTTTCTCCTCCCCTTTAGACAAATGGTCTAAACATGTTCCATGTTGAACACTTAGGTCACGTCACACACGGAGTGGGTGTCATCCGCTCTGGAACTCTCTTCATTCATGGTTCCAAAGGAGCTGAATACTGCAGACAGCGGGGTCCTGCGATGGGTTCTTAAACCATCTTCTCTGAAGGTCCTAGCAAAGCTTAAAAGCCAAAAATAATTCAAGCACGGCTATCTGGGTTTTATTTCAAGCACAAGTTGGGCGTGTTGTTGGTCTTAGCTTTCAGCATGCATTTTTCCCATCACTACAATGTTGTGGCTTTCCAACTATGTGTATTAAAACATGCAGCAGTCCTGGTAGAGTCTGGGCTGAGGTCTGGACAGGCTGGCTGTGCGTGCGTGGAAGAGAGGATCTTGGTTGTCCTGTGCGTGTGGGGATGTGATCTAAGCCTCAGCTTCCACCCAGTGAAGTGCTTTGTTACCGGTTGTCGTGTTGCTCTCCCAGTCTCCCTTTCTGCCTCAATGGGGGGCCAGTCGCGGGGGCCATACTGTGACAGGTTCACAGTATGTTGCTGCGTCCCCAACCCCGCTAGCTCTGAGCCCTCCAGGAGTAAGTTGCATGGGGAGTTGGAGGGACAGAGGTGGAGGCATCAAAAGCTGACTTTTCCCAGTGGAAACGAACACCCCAGCTGGAGCATCTAGGCCAGGTAACCTCTGGACTTGGAATCTTTTGGTGTTTCAGAGGCAGAGCCTGAACACCATCAGGCAAGAGTGGTTCCGCATCTCCAGCCGGAAGTCGTCTAGCCCTGCTGTGGTGGCCGCCTACCTCCACGGGGTCCAGCCTCACTCCCAACACGTCCTCAAGCTGCTTGTCAACCTGGCTGATGGCAACGGGAACACAGCCCTTCACTACAGCGTGTCCCACTCCAACTTCCCTGTCGTGAAGCTGCTGCTGGAGACAGGTCAGAGCTGGCTGCTTCTGTGCAGCCTGCGCCCCTCCCGGAGGGCAGTTCTTGTACCCACTTCTTTCCAGCAAGAGACTCCTCACTGTTCTGAGTTCCTCCTGTATAGGAGCTGGACTGGACCATTTTGCCTTTATAATATCATTTATCCTTCACAACACTCCTGTGATGTGGGTATTATTATTCTCATGTTGCACTTGAGGAAACTGAGGCTCAGAGAGTTATACACTTGCTCAGGTCACAGGGCTGGTAAATGGTCGAGATGGACTTTGTATTCGGTCTGTCCAACCCCAGAGCTATACCACACTGCCCCTAGGAGAGGTCACGTGTTACATCTTCATAAGTACGTTGTAGCAAAGGCCGTGGCTCCGTTTGATCAATTTGACTCAATTTGGCTCAGTCATCCTTCATCAAATATTTGTGGACTACGTGTGAGGTCCATGCTGGCCACCACCAGGGATGCAAAGGTGAGCCAGGTGTGAGCCCTCTGCTTCCCAGGAGGTCACAGCCTGATGATCAGGGTGGAGCAGGGAGACAGCTCACGAGAGAGAGGTACAGAACATGATTCCAGGACAGAAGTGAGACAATGTCCTGTTCAGGGAGCAAGGTACACTGAAGCAGGTGGGATCCAGCAGAGGGAGAAATCTCCCAGAGGAGAACACCAAGGAGGTAAGAAAGGAAAATCTGGAGACCACAAGGCTTCTGGTTGGATTGGGACGTGAATCAAGGTTGAGGAGGTAGGTGGAACCACAGCGTGGAGGACCTTGAGTGCCAGACCGAAGAGTGTGAGCTTGTCTGAAGGCAGCGAGAAGTCAGTCCAGGGTGGTGAACAGGGGAACACCGGAACCAGGCGAGTTCTCCACAGAGGTGAATTTGGTGGTAGGAGCAGGGGCAGGAGGTGGCGGGCCAGGCAGGAGGCCATTGCAGGGTCCACAGAGAGGTAGTGAGGGATCACAATAGGAGAGGGTGGTAGGAATAGAAGAGCAGAAAGCCACTGGGGAGCTAGTGACAGACTGGCTGTGAGGGAGGGGAGTGGGGTTCTCTGATGTGTTGGGCCTGAATGGCTGAGAAGATGGTGCAAAAGGAGGAGAACAAGTGTGGGGGAAGCAAAAAGGATAATTCAGTGTGGGGCAGATTTTGAGTTTCCCGTAGGTCGTCCAGATGGAAGAATCCAGAAGGCTATTGAGAATTCCAGATCCAAAATTAACGGGCAGTAGACTTTTGGGTGGGGCCAGCTAGAGCACAGCCAATGGAGTCCCTTAGGAAAGGAATGCAGATGGAGAAGGGAAGAGGCTGGAGAGGGAAGCCCTGCGGAATGCCTGCATTTAGGGGGAGAGAGAGAGAGCACACCGGTGGGGGAGACCCAGACGAGCTGTGTGAGAAGCAGGAGAAATAACAGAATAGTGGCCAACAGGGACCGATAATGAAGACAACGTCAGGAAGAGAGATCATCCGCTGGGCCAATATGGTAGTACCCTTGAAGGATGATGCCTGGGCTTGGCAGGTTTGGGAGGGGTTCACTGGTGACTTTGGAAACAGCCGTTTCAGGGAGATATTGGGAGGAAGCTGGATTGCAGAGGTGAAAGGAGTGAAGTGGGTGGGTCGGGAAGGCAGTGATGCAGCGTCATGACTGGAGGAGGCAGGAGAGACTGCAGTTATTTTTGTGTGTTTGGGGATAGAGGATACCTGAGCACGTTTGTTGGCTGAGAAGAAGAGTCCAGGGAGGCGGGGAGGGGGACAGAAAGGGAGACAGAGACAGAGATAGAGAGAGAGAGATTAAAGATACAAAGAGGAGAAGAAGCTTGGTCTTGCAGGAGCTGGAAAAACCTGGAATCCACAGCAGATGCAGATGAGGTCAACCTAGTCACGCTGCTGGATATTTGTTCCTTTGAGATGGAAATGAAAGGAAGGGAAGGTGGTAAAGGTCCAGAGAGATGCTGAGGAGGAAGAAGAGACATGAAGGCCACTTGCTTTTTGATCTTGGCCTTGATCTTCTCGGGAAAGAGAGATCGGGTTCCGGGTTGTGCAATCTGGAAAGGGGTGGTTAATAGTCAAAGAACTCTGTGAGGATTGCTGAGCGTCCCCATGGTCTGCTGACACCAGAGCACAGGGCTCAGAGTGGACTTTCAGCAGCGTCTGTGACAACATCAAGCAGCCTGGGAGTGACGGTGTGGACAGGTGGGTGATGGGGCTGACTGAAGGTGTGTGGGTCCCCGAAATGTCATCTATGAGTTAGGGAGGCTGTCGGGGGGATATCTAGGAGGGTCCCTACCAGAGGTTAAGCCCCAAATGCTCTCCACAGATTAGGCCCTCGGCTGAGCACCCGGCATATGAGATCTCATTTAATCCCATAATGATCGTATTAATAGGGATGATTATCCCTGTTTTATGGATGACGAAAGTGACGCTCAGGAAAGTCGACAGGCTTGCCCGAGATCACGTCACAACTAAGTGTGCTGCTGGGGTTTGAAGTCAACACCATTGAGCTGTTCTTCTCATTCCTGGCATCCAGGAAGTGGAGCACTTGCTGGATCTGTAAGCCTTATTAGGAGGCTGGAGGGGGAGTTTAAATGGGCATCGGAAAGTCTGAATTCTGGTTGCAAGAGCTTTCTCCCAACTTGGATCTTGTCCACCAGCTTAAACCCCTCCCACGGCCTCCCATAGCTCTTAGAATGGAAGGCAGCTTCCTCAGCCTGGCCCTCAGCAATCCCAGATGGCCTGGCTCCCACCTGCCTTCACTCTCTCTCTCTGCCATCACCACCATCCTCCTTCCCTCCCCTCCAGCCACGTGGCCTCAAACTCGCAGAGCGCATTCCCTCCTTGGGACCTTTGCCCTTGCTTTGTAGCTGGAGTCTCTTCCCTGAAACTCTTCTCATGACTGGCTCCTTCTCGTCCTTCAAGTGACAGCTCAGATGTCACCTCAGCAGGCTTCCTGGTGACTCCATCTGAAGTGGCCGCCCCGTCTCTCTCTCTCTAGGGGAACACCTTGTTTCTTTCTTTCGATGATCTTTGCTTGTCACTTCTACCCAACAGAACTCAGGTAACTCAGTCATGGGGGCTTCTGTCGTCTTGTCCCTTTCAGTATCCCCAGCACCTAGACGAGTTCCTGGCTTATAGTAGGTGTTGAGTGAATCTATCTGTTAAGTGACCCCTGGGAGCTAGGTTAAATTCCAGGAAATTTTCAGTTCTCCAGAATTCCGTCAAGCGCTCTTCACCTGAATGGATAGGTGACGTACATAATGACAGCCCCAAGTTCTTTCTGCTTCCCACATTATCAAAGGAAGATGCAGTTACAGTTCTAACATGGAGCCGATTTTGTTGGATTTCAGTTCCTCGTGGGTTCATGGGTGCCATAAACGTGGTAGCTGTGTTGAGGAAGGCGCACACCTGAGTGGAGCGTGCCTCTGTGTCCGTTTACCACGTTCGATGTCAGGGGCTGTCAGTAAGAACAACTTCCACTGCTCTTTGAGGGCCTTCCCCACCAGTCACAGTGCTGGTGTGGTACACATATGCACGGCCACATACGGTCCTTGTGGGGACCGTGAGGCAGATATGAGCTGCATTTTCCAGGTGAGCAAACTCAGGCTCAGAGAGGTCAGCTCATGTGGTCAGGGTCACAGAGCCAGTCAGGAGCTAAGCCAGAATTCCAACCATGATCTGTCACCCTCCCAACCTGGGCTTTTTCTGCTACCCCAAACCAGGTTTCAGGGACACTGTGAGACCTTGGAAGCCCCTGTTATGTGCACAAAGAATCCAGAGATGGGGAATGTGGAGCCCTCGTCTTAAGTAGCTCACAGACATGCAGCTGTTAGCAGTTCTCCAGGTGGGCCGGGCCAGGCCCAAGGATGGACGACATCAGATTAGGCTGTTGTAAATTTTTGCTGATGTTAGCTGAGACTCCATCAGTGCTCATCAGCCCTGAAGTGGCTCGGAAGCTTTTCCCTTTAACGACTGGAAGAGCTATGTGGCCACAAGCATGAGGTCTGAAGGGGGCAGGGAGAAGAGGCCGAAAGTGCCGTTCCCTTCCCTCCCTGGAGGAGGGCTGTGGAGGGGGACGGACGGTCACACTCCCAGACCTGGGCTCCCTTCCCTGGGAGTTGTGAAGCATCGGGAAAGCACATTGGAAACTGTGAGGGGCTGCAGGAGGTGACCTGTCTGTGGAGCACAGAGCTCAGTCCTTTGTGACCCGTCCTTCGTTTTGCCAGATGGCCGCTGCAGAGGAGGAGCATGCTTGTCCTCCCCTCCCCTCCAGGCTCCTGGGGGGCTGCCCAGAAGCTTCTGCTGTGAAAGCCCTGGGTCCTCAGCCCTCACTCTGCTGAGCTACAAGTCATGTTTCTGAAGAGAGTAGAGAGAACCACGACCTGAGGCTCATTTACACCTCTCAGAAGCAAATAAAATCGTCCTGGGGTAAAAACAGAAGAGTCACTAGCAGGCAGTGCACACAATCCCGTCCTCACCAGGACGGAGCTGGGAGGCCATGCTTGGAGGTGTGATTCAGCTTTCCTGGCCCAGCTGCTCATGACAGCGGTCAGAGGAGCTTTGGGGAGGAAAGTGCTGATTTCTCTGTATCCGCCGGCATCCTGGTATCACTGTGGTACATTTCTGAAAAATTGTTGGGGTTGGCTGGAGGGAATGTCGGCCAATGTTGGTTTTTCCCTTGCACGGAACTTGTCAGTATCCGTGACTGACATTTTTTTAAAAACCAGATGTGTTACAATGCATACCCAAGTCTTCCTGAGCGAGTAGCAAGGATATAAAGACAATAATACCGTTCTGGACAATAATAATAACAACACTTAACACTTTCTGAGTGTTTACTATGTGCTAGGTGCTGTGCTAAGTGCTTTTGGTATTTGAACTCATTAAATTTCTATTATCATCCCCATGTCACAGAGGAAATGCTAAGAAAGGCCCGGTGACTCGATCTCTGAGATAGTTTTACTATTGTCCAAACATAGGTTTTTCACATAAGCAGTGGTACTGGGAGGATCTGCTTTCCCACACAGCATCTCCCGTGAGAGGGGGGATGTTGACACAGCAGACAGCAGGCTGATAACCTCCTGCGCCTCCTTTGGTGGGAGGGATAGGAATGCACATCCCCAGGGTTACAAAGCAGAAATTTCTTTTGAGTTCTCATTTAATACTTCATCTTAAAACTATGCCAGTTTTTCCTTTTTGTGAAATGTATATTCTTAATTGCTTTAATATAAAAATGTATGGAGTCGTTTTCCCCTCCGTTTTTCAAATGAGATGGTTATTCCTGGAAGATTCCCCATGTTTATCCTGTGGCATTCTCATGCCCCTTGGTACATTGCACAATGTATCACTAGGCCTTTGGAAGGACCTGCAAACACAGCCATCAGCTTAGGAGACACACACAGGCACAGAGAGAGTGAAATCTGAAGTTGCGGCCATGGGTGACATGGGGCCGGGTGAGTGGTGGGCTCTGGAGCCTGACAGACCTGAGTCCTGGTCTCACCTCACCTTCGCTTGGGCAGTTTATGTAGCTTCACTGGCCTTCAGTGTCCTCATCTGTGAAATGGGAACATGTCTTGGGCTCCGCTTTAGGAAATAAAGCCATGGTATTGGCCCCCTTGGCCATCTCTGACTCTGCCGTCAACCTTTCTTGCTGGGTATCCTCAGAAAACTTGTAAAGAAAAGTAGCCACTTTGAAGGGCTGCTAAAACTGTCAAACATGGATTCAACCACTGGGAAAGGATTGCCCTGTTCCGTGGCCTTTTAGCCAGCAGGCAGCGTCCTGTTGATCAGGCTGGAGCGGGGTCTCGCCCTGGCCCCTCAGGAGCCGTTCCAGTGGCTGCTCCTCTTGCAGGTGTCTGCAGTGTGGACCATCAGAACAAAGCTGGCTATACCGCCGTGATGATCACTCCCCTGGCTTCTGCAGAGAGCCATGAAGACATGGCTGTCGTCCGGAAGCTCTTAAGAGAAGGAAATGTGAACATCCAAGCCACTCAGGTAGGAGGTGTGAACATGATCTCCTCCTTAATAAATGTGGGCACTTCCCAGTTTTATTCTGCCAGTGGGGTGAGAAATTCATGCAGATCCACGTAGGGTTTTTAACTCAAGAGGTCTGGGCTTTCCAAACGGCATCTTTCCAAAGCCTGAACGTTTGATTTCCTCAAAGGCTCCCGAGACCCAGAGGCAGCTGGGACAGAGGTCAGTGAGCTTGTAATCTGTGTCCCAGTCTGAAAGTGGGCAAATTCCATCTGGACTCGACTTCTCGAATCAGATATTCCCACACTTAGCTCCTTGAGAAGGCATTTGCTAGTTGGCTGCTCTAGGAATGCCCTGCAGGTGATCCACCTTGCTCATGAGCCCCAACTCCCAATTCCCACAGGGTGGTGTGAGGGGGACCAGGTCCCCGTGCTGGAGAGGGGTCCTTCCCTGTCAGCCACCACCTCACCGCACGCCTGTGCTCTTTGTGCAGGGAGGCCAGACCGCGCTGATGCTGGGAGTCAGCCACGACAGGGAGGACATGGTCCAGGCACTGCTCAGCTGCCAGGCAGACGTCAACCTGCAGGACCACGAGGGGTCATCGGCCCTCATGCTGGCCTGTCGCCATGGCAACGCTGACATGGTGCGTCTGCTCCTGGCACACCCGGCCTGCGACAGCAGCCTGACTGACAAGGTGAGACTCAGGCGATTAACAAGTAGGTGTTTGCTTCCCTTCCTGAAAAGCGCCTTGCCAGCCAGCGGAATTCAGGGAACCGTCTGGCAGCAGCAACCGAATCAACCTCCTAAGGCTGTTGTGGGATTTAAATGAGATGATCCATGGTGAATGCTGGGAGCGTTGGAGCTGGGGAGCCCCAGACACTAGCCTTTCACCCCATCCTGAGGGGACGTGCCCAGGCCTGGCTGAGGCCCTGAGCCTCCTCTGGTCACGGCAGTAATAGTGCGTGGGCTTTGAGGCAGCAGCTTGGACGGGGACCCCCTGCTGTCTGTGAGGTCTCCCAAAAGGCTGGATAAGGAGCCAAGTGGAAATCAGGTCCCCTCCCGGCAGTGATCCGCCTCACAGGGCAGCCCCTCCATCAAGCCAGCCTGCTCAGGTCGTGCCGCGGACATGTGCTTCTTCCATAAACTGCCTTGTGAGGCACTGGTGAGGATGATGGTGACAGCTAACGTGTGTCAAGAGCTTGGTGCCGGGCGCTGTACTGAGCGTTCCATCCCACTTAAATCCCACGCCAGCCGGGGAGGGGGCTCTGTGGATGCCCAGTTTGCTCACAGGTGTCCTGGGCTTGGGTGGCTCACCCAAAGTCACAGCGAGTGGAACCAGCTCCGTCCACTCCTAAGCCCACACTCTTAGCTCTGCATCATCGTCACTTGTCACACTGTGGGGCCACGCCTCTGGTTCCTGCTGAGTCCCCAGCACCGAGCAGAGTGTCTGCCACACATCAGGCAGGTGAATCAGTGTTGAATGAGTGAACCCCTGAGCTTGAGATGGACGGTCAGGACGCGGTCGTTTTACTGGTTGTTACGGTAGGTAATAACTCTAGAGTCCTTGTGGGACGTTACCTCGCTGATCCTCCGTCACCCAGCGAGGTAGAGACTGCTGGCCCGTCTTTACCACCAAGGAGACAGGTGTGGAGAGCTTACGTTGCTGTCATGGGTGCAGGCTGCGGGTCCTTGGAGCAGGGATTCAAGCCCCGGCCTGACTCCAGTGTCCTATTGTTGGCACTATCCTCCTCCACACTCTCTTAACACCACAGTTCAGGGCAACAAGGGCCTGGGGAGGGGAGAGAGTCCCCCACCTGCTCTTACTAGGCCACATCTGAACTGCCCAAGATTATTCCATCAGCGATTCAAGCTGCCGGGTCCCTCCCATGCCCAGGAACAGCCACCCCAGTCCAGCGTCTCAGGTCCTGTGAACCCCAGCTCCATCCACGGCTGTATCCGAGATAATGAGAGAACACAGACCCTCCTGAAATGCACGTGGGAACATGGGCTGCTGGAAACAAGAACCTCCTTGTCCAAACACTGTACAGTCAGACAAAGGATCTGCGTTAATGAGCCCCCACAAGGTCGCCCTGAGGCAGGAGGAGGCAGCCCCTCAAACTGGAGCAGGCCAGGGCCTCTTAGAAGAGACCACTGCTATTGCCCGAGGAGGCCTGAGAGGCAGGCCCGTGGGACAGGGCGTGTGAGCCCTGAAGGTCCCTGGTAGCTGGCTAATCATCAGTGAATCTGGACACCTCTGCAGGTGGGTCACAGACGAGAGGTCAGTGGCTGCTCTGAGGAGGTGGAGGAAGGGCCCTCGAGGGGGCTCCGCTGTGCTTCAGACAAATCGAGTGACTGTGAGAAGCGTGGACTTAAATACTCATGAGCGTGAAAGTGGGTTTAGTGACTGTGTGCCCTCGGGCAGGTCACCTGGCCACTCGGAGCCTCTGTGTGCTCGTCTGTAAAGGGGGCTAGTAACAGACCGTCCCTAAGTGTGGGGATGTTGATGAGGCCGGTACTCGACACCTAGGAGATACCCACTCGACGGGAACTGTCACCGCTGTGAAGGGGTGAACAGTGGTGGCTGATGCGAAGCAGCCCCACAGGACTGAGTGGGGACCTCGCCTGCACAGGCAGGGCCTGGAGGGAGTAGGGAGGGTGAGGGTCTGGGGTTAGGAGAGCCAGTCAGAGAGGCCTGGCCCCCAAAGGGAGAAGGGGCTTTCATTCGGGGTGACTTTGCCCCCCAGGGGAGACTCGGCAGTGTCTGGGGACATTTTTATTTGTCACAAGTGGGGGAGGGGTGTTCCTCGCTTCTAGTGGGTCGAGGCCGGGACGCTGCTCAAGTTCCTGCGAGGCACGGGAGCAACGAAGGATCACAGCTTACCCGGCCCAACACGTCGACAGCGCCATGGTTGAGGAAGCTGATGTAGGCGCGTGCTGCGGTCCAGGTGGGCCCAGATGGCCGTCTCAGTCAAGTGCTGGACCAGGGAGAGCCAGACCGGGGTCTGGGACAGGCCGGCTGCAGGTCAGGCCTCGAAGCCTGGGGCGGGGCACTGACCGCCTATAGGAGAGGGTGGCGGAAGGTGGGGAGGTGAGGGAGGGCGGGTAAGCGCAGGGGCCCGGCCTTGGGCAGCGGGCCGGCGGAGGTTCTGGACCCCGCTCACGCCCGGTCACCTGCTGCCTGCTTGGTCAGGGTTGACTCAGGGTCACACCCAAATCCCCCAAAGGTGCTGTGCTGAGAAGTCTCTGCGGGAGACGGGCCTGTGACTGGGCCGACGGCCACCGAGCCCCCTGCTGGAGCTTCCACTTGGGGGCGAGTCCGCCCCTCTCGTGATCACCGTATCACGTCAGCGGTCAGCTTTCCCACGGAGGCTTAGATGCAGGCCCAGGTTATCTGATAATTCCCTCGGAAAACTGAGAGAATTCAGGTCCTGAAATTGGTTTCTCTCATCCCGCCAACATTTAAAGGTTGATGTAAATGCAGAACCCCCAGAACAGCAGGCAAGGCACTTCCCCTGGGTTAGAAGGTTGTTCAAGAAAGTAGTCACCCAGCCTCTTGGGGCTGCCAGAGTGACAGGACCGGGAGGTGGTGAGGACTGAGCCTGACCCAGGCTCGCCTTTGACGGCTTGTTTGGCAGCCATCAAATTGAGAGCTTCCCGAAGGCAGAGACGATGCCTCCCCATCTTTGCCTGATACATGGTGGGTTCTTGGTGAGCTCTTATCGTATTGAAGGCTACTTTCCACACACACACACACGTGCATGCACGCGCACACACACAGGTCCTTTCAGTATCCTCAGGCCTGCAGTCTCGCCGAGCAGGGCTTGCCGTGCCTGGTCCCACTGCAGCTGCATGCTGTGGGCTCGTTCCCGTGTGAGGGACACATGCTCCCAGATGGTGTCCAACCACACTTTCTGAGTTGAACGTGGTCCCTCATCTCCACATCTGCAGCTGAGGAGCTCACAGACGCAGGCTGTTGTCTTCAGGCAGGCTCAGTTCAAAGTTCAAAGGTGCATGTGTCCCTGGGCCTCCCTGTGCTCTTTCCCATCACAGCGGTAATCACACCGTCTCTGTGTTTACACAGAGTCTCTGGGTTGACAGAGAGCAGCGATGGAGGCCAGAGTGCAGGGGACGGGCCTAAACAAACCAGGCCCGTCTGTGGGGCTTTTACAAGACTCCTCTGCTGGATGTCTTTGCTTCCTTCCAGACTTGTCCAATCTAAGAGAACACTCACGAGGATTTAGGGTGCTCTGGGTCTTCATCAGCTTGAAAGCATACCTCTCTGGTACCGTCCAGCTCCCCTTTCCGACAGTGCTAACTGAGGCCCACCAAAGGCAGGCACGGGGCCAGGGCTGGGCCAGCAGGAACAGGCCAGAGCCCGGCCCGACCTCGTGAAGACAGCGTTATCACATAACCCACACCACCAGCTCATAAAGGGCGGTGAAAGGAAGGTACAGGGGTCACGGGGCCTTTTCAGAGAAAGAACTTCCTAGGTTTTATGAAGCCCATGTGCCGTCCTTGGGGGTCCTGCTGAAATGCGCCCCCTACACACACACACACACACACACAGACACACACACACATACACACCAGTCATCATCCCCGAGTGCACTCTGCTCCCCTTCTGGGCTGTGAGGCCCTTTGCCTGCATTATGGTTACTGACTGGACTCCATCCTGCGCACAGAAAAGAGACTGCAGAGTTTTGAGCCGAGCGTGGACACCTCCCACCGGCTTCTGCAGATGTTTCCCGTTTTAGGAAGCGATCCCATCCATACACAGTGGGAACGACCTGGTGGGTCTTGGGTGCCCCCCACGTTATCAAACCCATTTTTTATGCAGCAAGATGTAAGAATATTCACACCAACTAGGCTAAATAAGGATCATAGACAGCCTCAGGTCGGGTTTTCCCTCCAAAGGGGTTACCAAAAAAGTGGTTTGGGGAGCTGTTTAGATTTCAGAGTTCTGGCTGTGAGATGGAGCCCACTCCTGAGACTGGCTGCCCTTGCGGAGCTCAGCATCTGCTCATCTCTCTGGAGGAACGGCCGGTGTTGCTGCCGAGAGCCCCTCTGTGCGGCTTCCTCAGGCAGCAGGACCCGCTGCTTCCTGCGTGGCGCCAGCCGTGCAAAAAGCACTCTGGTGTCCTGCACCAGGAGGTAAAAATGTGAGTGTCCTTCCATGCTGCAAGCCCACTTCTACGAGTTGGTCCTTAGGAAGTGATTAGAAATGGGAAAATGCTTTCTGTACTAAGTTATGATGGTGAAGACTTGGAAACAATCTAAGTCTACAGTAGAAGGGAAACAGTTCAGTAAATTGTGGAGTATTATACAACCAATAAGAAAAATTATATGTTATGATGACTGTGTAAGAACAGGGAAAAATCTTATAGCCTACCATGGTAAGTTAAAAATAAAAGCAGATTCAAAATTGATACACACTATCATTCCTCTGTTTAAAAACCAACAACATATTTGCCCAGGAGAAAAGACTGGAGGGAAACACACCAAAATGCGAACTTGCATTTAGGTCCATGTAGTGGAATAACGGAAGAGTTCTTTCCTGTTTCCCAATTTTTTAAAAAAAGTATTAAAAACTAAGCAACGTGTCTTTATTTCCATTGCACGGCTCTCTAGGGGTGAATGCTGTTTCCGTGGAAAGGGGCCCATCGCTCCTGAGCCTCATGCCCTATGAACCCCCTCCTCCCCAAGGGTCTCTGGACACTTGGAATAGACTTCCATGCCCCCTGCATGCCCCCTGCTCCCAACTCGCCCTTCCTCTCTGGGGCGGGAGGCAGCTGGGGTAAAATTTGTTTCTGCTTTTCTTTCTCCCCTGCAGGCTGGCCGAACAGCTTTGTCCATCGTCCTGACATCACCCGCCCACGTGGAAATTGCAGGGCTTCTTCGTGCCCACGCGGAGCAGGGCAGGTCCCTGGGGCCGTAGGGGCTGCGGAAGAGCTGGCAGGGGGAACAAAGGGCTCCCTCTCTGGATCCTCCCTCGCCCTTGGAGAGGGCATGGGTCAGAGCCCGAGGGCCGCCCCTCAAGAGAAGGAACTATGTCAAATATGCACATACATTCCTGCCGTATAATTCTGCTCATTAAGATGCTTTGTAGTTTTGCCTTAGGCCAAGCCCCTAAACTCCGCGGCTGCAGAGCAGGGTGCAAGGCGCAGGGTGCGCTGATGTCTCAGCGTCCCAAACATCCCAGCCTTCAGTTCCTCGTGCCTCCACCCTGTGTAGCACCGTGTAGCAGGCAGGCAGGAGCACATTAGCACAGCAATACTTTTTACATGAAATTTTTAAGTGCATCATCCTTTTGTTTTTTAATCAACTGTATATGAATTTGTCCGTGGAATATGCATGTCTAGAGAGGATGGGAGTTACGCAGCCGCCCTGGCGATCATCCTCTAGAGGACCCCAGGAGAATCACCACGCGGACGGGTGAGACTGAACAAGCCCCCTTTGGGGCCCTTGTTTAGTTGGAGTTGACAGAGAAGTCTTAAATTCCGTCAAGATAGATAGGAAGAAGCACGTTGGCGTCAGTGCCAGATACAGTCTCAACTGTTTCCGAGTCTTCGAGTGGCTCCAGTTTGCTCTAGGGAAATTGGAATTAGGAAATTCAGTGCAGTGATGCACACCAGTGGTGTCTAGGCAGAGTCCAGTTAGACGTCTGCTCTCCTGAATCTGTGAAAGAAACAAATCGATCAGAGCGAGCATCCTCCTGGGTGGGTTATTGTCATCCAGAAGCCCCCGCATTTCCTCCATGGCTGTACCCATGGCCTCATGGTAATCCCCCTCCTTTCCTCTCCTAGCCCTTATGAGCCAACTATGAGGCTCACCTCCCCCAGGCTCTGAGGTTTCCAAGGCTGTTAATTGCAGAACCTGTGGGCCTGGGCTGCAGCAGGAGTGTGGGGCCCCTGGCAGGGCAGGGCAGGGCAGGGCCCACCCTGGGCTGATGTCTCTCTCCAAGGCACAGTTCTTTCTTAAACTTCCATAATCCCAGAAGACCACACGTGCCCGGCTCATATTCAGTAAGTCACTCAAGGTTATCTATGAATTTGTTCTTTCTTAAGTCTCTTATGCAAAAAATCTCCCTTCTATAAAAAGGAGAGACATCTGAGTTCGGTGAGCCTCACATTAAAACTCCATTTTGACTCAGATACCGATTTGCTTGGTGCCCCCTGGGTGAGTTACAGAACCTTGGGCCCCAATTTCATCATCTCTGAAAACGGAAATCACCCTACAACCTACTTCCTGGGGGTGTTGTGCAGGAAACAGCTGATGGAAGTTTTGGAATCCAATTTAATGCACAAAGACCGTCTACAGAGATGGCGCGGGAACTTCTGTATTCCGTCGTAATTCACAAGAGAGGCTCAGAGGCCCAGAGCAGGACGCTGACGCCGGACGGCGTGACTCAGGGGTGGAGACAATGGAGCAAATAATGAGCTAAAAATGCTTTAAATGGGTTTATTTTGACCTCAAAGCACATTTTAAAAGCAAAAGCCTACATTAATAAGTGTCCTAGCCCAGTGCTTCTCCAACTTTGATGTGCGTACAAATCACCTGGAGATCTTGCTAGAACGCAGTAGGGCTGGGGGAGGGAGGGCCTGAGATTGCATTTCTAACCAGTTCCCGGGGATGCTGATGCGGCTGGGCACCCCACACCTGGAGTGCAAGGCTCTGGCCTGTCCTGACTGTGTATTAAAATCCTGCCTCTCACTCTTTTGTCTCAAAGTCTCTTTGCTCTTCTCTGCTCTCAGTTCTCAGGAATTTGCGTGTTTGTCTTATTTGCTGTTGTGTGTCTGCAGACAGCATTGGGGCTCCGTGTCCTGTGCTGCCAACTCAGGGTCTCTTTCTGCATCTCACTTGGGGGTGGCAACTTGCATTTGGTCCCTTTTTTTAATATCTCATTGGAGTCCAGCTATTAAAAACAGCTTCTTTACCAGAGAAGGCAAACTGGTTTTCCTAGAGTTTGAAGCCATTGGGTCATTATCAAGAAGACTTTGTCCATCCTTTCTGAGATTTTTAATAAGTTTCTTTTAATCTTGAGTTGGGCACGTGAACACGTGATCCCATCGGTAATAACTGTTCCGTTGAGCCCGGAAGATGGTGAGATGAACAGCCCGCATCCCTCGTTGTCCTCTAGAATTCAGTCAACAAATAGCCAGCACTGGCTTTTAGAAAGCAGCTGTGGCCCCTCTACAAAAACAGTGTCTAAGGGTACTGTGATCCCAAACCTGGGCTTTCAGGACCCTAAGCCACGGCTCCACTGATGAACACATCTGTCAAGCGCCTGACAACACAGCCTCCAGGCAACATAAATCAGGCTTACTGGGGACAGGGATTAAATCCAGGCCTGGGGAGAGACCCCCAGGTATTTTAGCCCCCTCACTGCCCTCCTGGAGTGTACAAGCTGCTGTGGAAGACAGGACTCGTGTGCCGATAGTAAGGAATGAGACTGGGCAACAGTGCATCCCACAGACATTTCTGGAACGCCCACTGTGTGCAGGCGCTGGGCTCACCTTAGATATATCATAGTGACACGGTTCAGACTGCCATCTCACCATCTGTTTGGGAAAACAGATGGTGAGAAAGAGGTCCAGAATACCACAGAGGTACCAATAAAGAGCACTCGAGCTGGTCTCAGGAAGTCGAGGGGGGCTTCCTGGAAGAAGAGGTATCTGAATTGCAAACTGAAAGATTAGTGGATGTTAGCCAGAAAAGGAAGAGGGGTGAGAGGTGAAAATGTGCCAGGCAGAGGGACCAGACTGCCGAGGCTGAGAGGTGGGAGAGCAGGCATTTGGGGACCTTCATTCAGTTCAATAGGACTGTCATGTAGAGTTGAGTGAAATGCTGAGGTCAGAGGGTGGATCTGGAAGAGATGAGACTGAAAATACGTGGGGATCGGGTCATAAAGTGCCCTACAGCCGTGGTAAGGCTTTGTTCTAAAGGCAGTGAAAGCTATTGGAAACCAGATTCATGATTGAAAAATTCATTCATCTAACTCTCATTTAACACAGACTTATTAGGTCCCTACTTACCTCCAAGTACTGTGCGTGGGGCTGGGGACATACTGGGGGGCAAGGTGGACGCAGAACCTAGGTTTAGCCAGGGAGGAAGACACAAGGCACTTTGGGTCAGTATGGGGCTTGTCGTGACTGGGAAAGACGAGGTGCCCTGGGGATACCTGGGGGAGCCTCAGCCTGTCTGGGTGTGGAGAGGGGTTCCGAAGTCTTCCTGAGGGATATTCAAGCTAGCTGAAGGATGAGTTGGCCTTAGCCAGGCAAAGAGAGCTGAGGAAGAAGCCCGTATAAAGCCTCAAGACGAGGGGAGCACTGACGCGGGGCGTGCAAAGATCCTCAGGGCTCCTGGACTGGAAACACAAGCCACTGCCAGAGGTTCAGACCCGAAGGAAACAGGAAGGCAGGGACACTCAGACCTACGTCTAGAGAGAGCGCGCCCACGTTCCAGGCATGAGTGGACAAACATCGGTGGACTGTCTCCTCCGGATCCTGCGCTCCAGGTTCGTGGTTTGGAGGAGAGACGTTGGCTGACGGTGATGTGTGATGGCGGTCTGCACGGTGCTGTGGACACCGACTCGGCCTCAGGGAGTCAGGCAGTCCTCACAGGAGGCAGCTTTTGAGTCAAGCCATGAGGAAGTGTAGGAGTTTGCTAGGCATTCCAGGTGGAACGCAAGCGTAGAGACCTGGAATGTGCCTGCCTGGGCGACGCGGAGAATCTGGGACTGACTTCTGCTCAGTTACGTGAGGGAAGTGCTGGAGAGGAGATCTGGGGGGATGTCAGCAGACACGTCTCGCTCGTGTGTTCAGAGAAGGAATTTGGACTTCAGCCTGGAATTGAGGGGGAACCACAGGCCCGTTTGAGAATCTGAAGCCCTCTTCAGAAAAATGCACACGTGCAAAATTTGCATGTAATTTCAGGGATTCAGAAATCTGTGGTTAAAACTGTACTGCTCTAGGCGGGGTGGGGGGTGAGGGGGGAGCCATCGCAGAATTTCTAAACAGTGAGCCACATGGTCAGTTTTGCCCCTTAGAATGATCACAGCGGGAGGCTGGAGAGAGAGGGACTGGAGGCAAGGGACCAGCTAGGAGGTTCTTGTGGGACCCTGGGGCTGGAGCTGCGAGGCCCAGACCACGGTGGCATCCGTGGGATGAAGGATAGAGCCCCGTGGGAAGGCATCAGGAATGGGGATGTGCCAGGACGTGACGACAAATGGGATGGTGGAGGGGGCAAAGATGAGTGATGGGAAAATGGTGATGCCACTGTCACCAACACCCACTCTTCCCTCCTCCTTAGTAATAGACTCCGCAACTTTCAGTGTGCACGTGGCCACCCAGGGTAGAGACTCCATCTCCCAGGCCTTCTTGCAGCTTGATGTGGCCTCATAATTAGGTTCTATGGGATTTGAGGCAAGTGATGTGAGCAAACTGTGGCTCCTGCATTCCAAGGAAAGGGAGATGCACTTCCCATTCCCACTGGCTGAAATGTGGTCAAGACCCATCTGGATCCATGAAGATGAGGCCAACACCCCAGGGACCACAGAACAGCAAGTCAGAAGGGGCTCAGGTAGCCAACACCATAAAGCCATCACATCTGCTCTGGACTGTTTATCCCCCACGTCCTATGTGAGCAAGAAATAACCTCTACCACGTGTAAGCCACTGTACATCTGAGTCTCTGCTCTCTGGGAATTGGACCAATGCGCTCAGCATCTCTTGGCCGTCTCACGGGATCTCAGGGAGGAAAAGGAGGAAGGCTCTGGGAAAGAGCATCCTTTTGGTGGCCAGGTACAATGGCTCTCCTTATGGCACCACCCCTCCTCTACGCCCACACAGAATCACCCAGCCACAGCCGAGAAGAAGGGGGGCCTTGTGTCACCCTAGCTGGTTCCTGAACACAGGCTCTGGGCCACAAGGCAGCCAGTCTGTAAGCGAAACAGTGCCTATGAGCTGGCCTGGTGTGGAAGTAGGGGCAGGACCGTTGAATTATCTGAGAAATTTGAATGAAGAAACATGTAGAGTTTCAGGCAGTAGCGACGGGTTACGGTTCAGGAGTGAGAAGCACGAAGGGAGGAGGAGAGGGGTGGGATCTGCGTGCATGGAGGTGAAGAAGCGTAGAAAGTATGAGGAAAAGGTGGAGAGTAAAGAGAAGAAGCCCGTCGACTAGACACCTCTGGACTGTCTGACAGGTCCTCCTATCCTAGGAACCCCCCTCTCCAGCCCCATCCAGCACCCACATGACTGCACAGGACCTGCCACGTTCCTAGGAGAAAATGTGGCCCCGGCCATCAAAGGATGGTCACCGGA